ATCAGTCAGGCCGGGGGCCCTGGCGGTGGCTGCCCTGAGGGGACGGGCGGCCGGTTGGCGCGGGCTGGGCTGTTCCCTGTGTGAGAAATGGCAAAAACCGATGAGAAAACGCAAACCAGTGACTAACGTCCCTTTGGGTGTGTAAATGGATAACCCGCACGGCAGGCTGTGAGCCGGGAACCGCCGAGCAGAGCTGGGGGAAGCTGTTTCTCCTCAGAAAACGCTTCTCTGTGGAAACTGAGTTTTTGCAGAAAACCAGATTTGATAAAACTGTGAAGTGCTTTCTGAACCCCGGGATGGAAGCTCACAGCAGGTCTGTGACAGAGCCCGCAGCCTCACACCCAGGAACCTGGGTTCATGGAGCACTAGGCAGGCACTGCATCAGTGTGCTGGGCGGCGGCAGTAGAATGCTGAAACTTTTACATTTCAGAAGTTTCCTGCCCTGATTGAACTCCCAAGGTCGGCTCTGGTGTCGTCTAATGTAATCCTGGCAAAGCCCTGTTGCTTTTTGCTGTACCTCTGTTGTATCACCTGTAAAGCAGGGAAGGGGGCTGTGCGTGCATATGGGATGATGGGATTTAACAGTTAACTGGATCAGTGGCAGGAAAGGGAAAAATTCTCAAAATGCAGAATATTCCATAATACAAAATCTGTATGTTTCTCTCTGACGTGGCTCCCTTTGCTTTTCAGAGGTGATGTTTCTATCAAGTAATGGATACACCTGAGAATTCAGCCAATGTAGTCTCTGTTATCATTTATCTTTAGGAAAAGGCAAAACTTCTAAGAAGTCAGCCTGCTCAAATTGTGGAACCCAAAGGTCTTCTGTATGTCCAGCAGAGAGAATTTGCAGTGACTACCCCTAAAGATAGTATGTAGTGACATAAATATTTTTTTCTTCTACTGAAGCAATGATTGTAAGAGTGGAGTCCTTACAGTGTTTCTCTCTTTTAAAATAGGTTCTGTTTCCATTCTTGGATCAGATGATGCAACTACCTGCCACATAGTTGTGCTCCGACACACAGGTATCTCTAAACGCTGTTCAGAACAAAACCCGTAACTCTGAAGTAATGAATTAGTATTGGTTTATGCTGCCTTAATAAACTGCAACTACGTTTCCATAAACTTGAATCTCAAAAAGGTGACATGATGTGTTAACTGAATGACTTGTTCAGAGAGTTGGCGTGTTTAGTGCCAGAGGTTCCATGTTCTGGATGCTTAATGAGCAGATCCTAACCCTGATCTGCTCTCATGGCCGGTGAGTAGTGGCCGTTGCAGACCTTGGCCGTGTTCAGCAGTCTGGGCCTGCAGGGTTTGGTAATAACAGGGGTGGAATTTGTGGAGAGATCCTTGCTACATGCCTGGAGTTGTGACATTAGGCATGTTGCCTGGTCCTGGTTAAGAGGACACTTGGACCCTTCACATGAGTTCTGGTGGTTTTACCACGGGTGACACAAAGAGGTTATTGCCTCGGTCAGCCAGCCCTTCTCTTCTGCTGGAGGCTACTGTCAGGAGAGGAAGCAATCAGGTGCTGGATGTAGCTCTTGCGCTACTGTAGTAGTGTAAACTGTTGGTGATTTCAGTTACGGTTGCATAACAGCCTCCAGCAGTGTCCTTAACTGTCTTCTCATGTCTTCCTCAGGCAGTGGAGCGACCTGCTTGACACACTGCGACGGATCAGACACCGAAGCTGAGGTGTCACTCATCATGAGTTCAGTGAAATCTTTCTCTAGCACCACAGGGTATGGAAGGTCAGTTCTGCTCTGCTGTTTCATGTGTGCTGTTTTTCACAAAGGTTACTGCAGTTTGTGGGGTGGGGAATGTTTATGGGATTGTATGGAGTTCAGCCAAGGTCATTGTGCAAGAAACAGCTCTTGATCAGGAGCCACATGGGAAGTGAAAACGATTTCCTTGATGATTTTAAGGGTATTTTTACCAGTAGTTTAAAGCATGGTTCTGTTCTGAACAGTGTCTCTGTAAAATGCTGTTGGGAGGTTTTGTGTTTACCATTTCCCAGTGAACTTTTGTTTCAGATGTGTGAAATTTTCCACAGAACTGGTTTTGGTTTTATGTTCTATTTTTCTTTCCAGGCTGTTGATCTTGTAAATTCTTTTGGGATCTGAGAATCCATCTGGGATTTTTCGAAGTCCCACATTAAATAGCAGGGGGGACACAGGACAATGGGGAAAAAAACCTCTGAAACAGAATTTAGCAAACAAGGTTCTTTCTGGATGTGGGTTTTTTTGCCCCTGTAGCTTGATAAGAACAAAAACTCAATGAACTTAGAAGATATGGTCTTTAAAATCTTGTGATTATCAGGACTTGTCTTTACATAGACACTTCTCAGGGAAGAACCCTGCCATGTGGTCCAGAGTAGTTGTGAGGAGGTCAGGGAGCAAAAATCTTCATGTTTCATTAACCCTTTCTTGGGAACTGGAAGGTGGTTACTAAGTTCAGTCCACACCAGAGGTGCTGGCCATCGGAGATACCACTGAGTTAGAATTGCATGTGTGTAATGCCTCTTAAAGGTTTTAATTTGTGCTTTTTCCTGGATGATCCCTGAGGGGTTCAGAATGGAATTGCCATAACTTGCTATGTAATGCAAACTGATCTGGCGCATGTGACTGTAACAGTGATTGCTTTGCAGTCTGGGCTGGGGATTATTTTGTAAAGCTCTTCACTTTGGGATGTCTTTTTAACTGCTGTTTCCTGTTATTCCATCTTTGTTAGGCTGGAAGTGCACCTAGTTGGAGGTTTCAATGATGATAGGCAGTTATCACAAAAACTTACTAATCAGCTTCTTAGTAAGTTCACGTTTTTTCCACTCTTACGTCCCCAAAAAATAGTTCTGACTGGATGTGGTTAAAGTTTGTTTGTAATCTGAGCCCCCTGTCATTTCACGAGAATAAATCGGGATGCGTTTTGAAGGGTGTCTTCTCTACCTGAGAACGTGGTGTGAGAGGGGTTGGATTTGTGAGGCTGGCATATGGCCAGGGTGTGGGATGGAGGGTCTAAGCCTGTAATTTCTCCCTGGCCTATATGGGAGTGTGTAGAGCTGGAGCGCAGTTCAGCTGGGCTTGATTCCTGGCTCTGCTGCTGATATGCTACATGATCTTGGTCAAGGGTTGTCACTGTCTGAATCTATAGATGTGGGTGACTTCATTAGTTACTGTTCATTTCGTACCTTAAAGTGATGAGGTAAAATTTAATTATTGTTTGGAATTGCCTGATGAAAGACATTATGTCTGTTTATAAAATCCATCGTCCAGAGAAGTGATTGTGGTGCTTTACAAATTGGAAACGTGAAGTACCTGCTCAGCCCCTGTGAGTGCTCTGGCTTGCGCTAAGCACTTTGGAGTGTGGAGAGGGGCAGATGTCAGGATTGGAGGGAGGTGGCCAAGGGGAATAAACGAAAAGGAAATTGGAACTGACAAAGGTCCTGGGATGCACCCTCGTGGCCATCACACCTAGTGATTCTTCTCATCTGTGGTATGTGTCGTATGAGAGTTCTGTACAGAATGAAGTATTTTGGTTAATTTATTTTTTTTCAACCTTCTGATTTTCATGCATCGTGTTACAATTTGAAACAACACTGAATTGCTATTAGTAGTTCAAAAAAAGAGGTCTTTTTCTGGTGTGTGGGATGGTGAAAGGCGTAATTGAAATACAGCTAATGAAAGACAGGGATTGCTTGGTGTATATGTAACCGTGTCAATATCAGCTGAGTGAGCTCCAGCAGAGCTGATGTGACGCCAGGGTAACCCAGCGTCAGTAACAGGAGTAAGTGGCACAGCACTTCATTATCCTGTTTGCTATTACAAATGGCTACTCTCTGTAAACTATTGATGTTTAGTAGCTGTGGCTTTCATTTTATCAAAGTTAGTTTGAAGCAGATCTGCAAACCGCTCTGTGCTCTGTTGCCTCACCCAGGAACAGGGCGTTAGGTACCTGTGCCCACCCATTCGGCGGTGCGCAGCACTGGTCACGCCCCCGGTCTGTATGCAGCAGCTGCTGTGCCAGCAGTCCCTCTGACACATTGCTGCTGTCGTTGTTGCTGTAGGAGCATTCGATCTCCAACCAGATGATGTTCATTTAGTGACTTTCTGCGTAACAGGTAAGAAAATGTTTCCTTGGTTTTTGAAGTATCTGTAGCCACTGAAATCAAAGTGCAGGGTCTTGTCACACATGGCTTCTTTATCTGTCCTGTGAGAAAGAACAGCAGGAGTCCTCTGTAACGATTTTTAATTTTTAGTTCATTGCTGGTAGCGTGTGTGGTGATGTCAGATAGACAGTGCAGCGAGGATTCTCCCCTTACCAAGCGCTGCTGAAATGCAACTGGTCGTAGAGCTGCCCATGATCATGCCAGGGTATTTTCCTACCTGTGTCCTGGGGCAGGGCTGTGGGTCTGTGGGTACCGTAAGCGGCAGCTGAGAAAGGCACTTCCAGACCTTGGGCCTGCCGGGGTGTCGCACCTGCCTCCCTGCAGGTTGGACTGAATTCATAAACTCATTCAGTTAGTTCATAGCGTGTGGTGTCACATAAAGGAAGAAGTAATTTCCTTCCTTTGTGTCACATTCAGGTCGTATTTCCATCAGCTTTGCATTTCAGTGCTGTTGGTGACTTACATCTTTGCAACTTGGCATCATCGTAGTTTTGCATTGTGGTTTTTTCCCTGCAAATTGCCTGTGCAGAAACAGGAGTGACAGCTGGCTAGAGGGGCCATACTGGCAGGAGACAGAGTTCTTTTCCAGGCCCCAGGTGTGTTGGTATTGGCCTGCACCTTCTTTTCCATCTTTCTTTTAGGCTTCCTTTTTTTTTTTTTTTTTCTGTCTTTATGCAACATCAGATCTGTTCCTCTCTGATAACACACAACTAAATGAATGCTGTTCAGAAAAAAATCCAAAACCCTACATGTTTGGCTTTTTTTTTCTTACAGAACTAAATGACAGAGAAGAAAAAGACATTCACTTTCCAATAATTTATGGAATAGGTGAGTTAAATTCAAATCAAATTACTTTTTTGTAACTGGATTGCTTTTCAGATTCCAATAGTATATGGGCTGCTTTTAATGACTCAGTAAAACCCGTCCTGTAAGTTAAGTGCTGCTGGGGGAGCGCAGGTAGAAATGGAAGTTTTATTCTGATGCACACGTGGAAGTGGCTGTGTACAAATGCAAACAGGTTTTTTTCATTTAACTGCACTTGGGCCAATGTCAAACTGCTGTACTAACCTTTGGGGTTAGAATTCAGCCTCTTGTCATTGTTCATTCTGTGTTTCTTCTAAGTAGTTTAAGTATCTCTGAAAATGTTCTTCTGGAATATTGAAATGCTGCCAAGGCAACATCGAAATAAGTGGAAATATGCTATCACAGGTTACGGGTCTGTGGTACAGAGAAATATAAAAATATTTGTTGGGTTCTAAAGTTCCTGCAACATGGTCACTTTAAACAAGTGTTTTGTAAGAATTAATTGTTTCTCTGTTTAAACTCTATTTCCTACCAGCTGTGAATGTTAAAACAGCAGAGATTTTCCCTGCAACCTTCCCAGAAAAAGGGCCGGATGAAGATTTGCGTTCAGCCCATGTTCTAACAGGAGCAACAGTGAGTAAAAATAACAGGGGAAGAAAGGGTGTTTCTGCTGGAAGGGGAGGCCAGTGAGGGGCAATGAAATGTCAGAAGTTTGAGGAAAAAATCCTTTAGCAGCATTCTGTCAGGAACAAAACAACTGAGAAAGATGGAAGAGCAGAGGCACAGGGTAACGGTGGAGATCTGAGCTTTCAGCAGCCAGGGAAAGCCTTCTCTTGAAGTACAGCTCTTTGACCTGCTGGTGTGACCGGCCCTACAGCTGTCAGCAGGACGACTTATGTAAATAGATTCAGGTCAGAGGCATAATCCCAGCAGTATCCTTCCCTTCGAGGTTTGTTGTTACAGTTCAATGTCGTGTTTGTCAGCATAACTGGTTAATCTGCATGGCCCAGGAATGAAGAGGGGCTGAGCTGGCCCAGGGTATGGCTAAGACAGAAGCTGCAGCTTAAGGCCTGGCAGATTCGGTGGAGGGCTCTTTGATCTGTGTGAGCACTGGACAAGTCTTAACTCTCCCTGTGCTGTTACAGCTGACTAACATTTACGATGCAAAGATGGAACAACTACATATTGGGCCTTATTCCTGGAGGCCTTTCCCACACGTGGATTTCTGGTTGGAACAAGATGATGAACAGATTTTACAGGTACCCAAAACTGACCTTTTTTTTTTTTTTTTTTTTTTTTTTTTTTCTCTCCCCATTCTAGCCGCGTAGAGAGAAGGGTGTGGTCTGTCAAGACTTTTCACAATGTACTGCTTGGGAGGGTGGGAAATAATCTTATTTAAAGGCAGAATCATTGAGCACTTTGTATTCTGAATGTCAAGCAGCTCTTGCTCCCCTCTTCTTTTCCAGAATCTTTCCACATCGCCCCTGGCTGAGCCACCCCACTTTGTTTCCCACATTAGATCTACATTAACATTTCTAAAAGAACATCCCTTTCCATCTCACTCCCTGTTTCCTGACAGGAAACCTCGCATCTACAAAAAAAATGAAGAAGGGTTGTGGGAACAGGTTTGCTCTGACAAGATTTAGGGAAGTATAGTCGTGCAAGAAGAGCAAGTTGTTGCCAAAAGCGTATCGCTGGTCACAAATACTATTGTTCCTGTGCTTTTCAAAATAAAATATTTTGACAGAAGTAATTTGCTTTTGCTGCATTACTTACGTGTTGTGTTGCTCCAATACAGTAATTTGATCGGCACAGGTAAAGAGAGGTGGCAGTGCTGAGAGACTGAGAAGGGAAGTCAGTACATTGGTGTGGACTTTAGAAAATAATATTCCACACAAAGTGAAAAAAAGTTGCACACACGTAAAGCTTACTGAAACTTAGGGAAGCATCCTTCAACCATGACATCATTCAAGAGTAATAATTTGAAGAATCTTTATTGAAACATTCAGATAGTATCTAAAGAATGAAGCCCATTCCAACAGAACTACTGGTTTAACACTTCCAAATATAAAAACATTAAAAATTAATCTTTGTGGCGATCACTTCATCCCCAACAGATTACTGTTATTAACATACTTCATTGCACCAAAGAAACCAATGAGGAAGACTAGTCAACTTAATTGGTTTTGCACTTTAGAAAAAAATTGCACTCTGATTTACATAAATTACCCCAACAGCAAAATTAGTCTTGTTCCTGGCATCCCAACCCCACAGGATCCAGAAGCTGAAAGTCAAATCAGGTGACAGTACAATTCAAAACCCCCAAATTTTTCAGCTTATCAAAGTAAGTTCTGCTACCACTACAGCCATTATGGTGCTAATTTATAGCTTTTTGGGGGGAGAAAAAAAAAAATGAAGCAAACTCCTGTACTTGGAGCCAGTTCTATAGGGAAGGGGTGGTTTGCCCCAAAATCCGATACCTTGGGGAAAGCAAGCTTTTCCAGAGAGCTCCTTTCCAGAGGAGGCTCTGAAAATCTGCAGCAAAGTGGAAAAGGTAATTTGGAGGGGAGACTTCGACACCTTAGCTTTTGATTTATCCAAAGTTTCGCTTGTGCATTAAGTAGTCCCAGACACTATGACATTGTGCTGTAGTGTAAATAACCTATATAATTTCTTTGAATCTGTACAATTCCTACCATAGGTAAGTTACTGTTATTTAAAAGGAAAAAAAAAAAAGTGTTTAAACTATCACAAATGTATTGGTTTTTCAAGCTTTACTACAACTATCTTTAAAAATACACAACAGAAGGAACTCCAGTTACACCACATACATGTGTTCAACAGTATTTGGTTTATCAAGGGCGTGCAAAGGAAAATAACGGTGTGGTGGTGATTCTTGCCAGTGGCAGAAGCCAGAAGCCGTTCAGGCATGCAGAGGCACGGTTTGTGAAAGGCTTCACCTCATCAACAGAGTCCTCGCTGTGCCGAGGGCCTCAGCTGAACGGGTCAAGTCATACAACAGCAGGAAAAAATGGCTGATGGCAAAGGACTCTCCAGTGACTCCTATATACACGGGCATCCCTCCCTCAGCTCCCCGCACCACAGCTGTTTGGCAACGTTCCTTGCAAGGAAAGAGAAGCAAAACAGAGCCAGTGTGACTGCAGCAGATGGTTTGCAGGCAAGGCTAAACTGAATTTTAAATATTAAAAAACTGAACAATTGGCAGTTGATTATTTTTTTAAGTGTATTACATAAAAAAAGATAATTTTGCAATTATTGGGTGCAACTGTATTGTTAATCTTGTGTATGATTGGTTAGTTAGCAACTATTGTCATGCTTAAGATTGCTACAGGAAGGATAACTGCCAATTGTTTTTACAAATGTTTATGAGCAGTTAGTAAATTCCACTAGTACTTTGGTGACACTGACATGTAGAGAATTAAAGCAACTGTAACAAGCGTACGATAAGACAAATCTCTGTCCCATGGGGGGGGAATTTGTGCAAAATCCCAGTTAATAAGTTACAGTAGTTGTTACTGTACTAGTGTGTGGCACTGTTCACATTTCAAACGCATCTTTACCACCCTGCCTCCCAGGGCACGGCCTTCCTCGGCAAAGTCTGAAAGCCACAGTCCGGATTTTATCTTTGACTTTCTTGTTCCTCTACCTTCACACAGTCGTGTGGCGATTTGTCACTGTGAACGTCCTCAGTGTCTGTTGCCTGTGCCACCTCCTTCTGCTCCGTTTTTTCTGTCTCCAAAGGTCCTTGCTCTTGGCCAGGGGACAGAGTTGGGGGTCTCTGATCCATCTTCTCCAGGTCATCACAGTGGCTGACGGAACTGGTCTCACTGAATGCATCAGAACTTCTTAGAGACCTTTTAAAAATTTTCTGACCTGTGAAGTGTTTGAAGAACAGAGTGCCAATGAAGGCAGCAAATACAAAATGTGGTATGCACAAGTTACATTTCAAAGAAAGTATCTGAATTTTACAACTGCAAAGAAATAGATTTTATTTGGGTGCTAACTTGTACCCTAAGCACAGACAGAGGTGTGCAGTTACAGATGTGTGCGCAAGGACATGGCACCTGTTACTTTATCCTGTGTGAACAGAGACTTAAAATTTATCTGCAAAACAAGCTGCCTACATGCACAGTGAAGTCATTCTTGGGTAAAAACTTGCACTGAAAGTCGCAGGCTGGAAGCCAGCCAGCTCAAAAGGTGAGCTAAACCGTGGTTTTCCTGCCAGTCAAATCAACATTAATTACTAATTGAACTACACAGAGAGTGAGCAGTTGCTCAAATACATGACTACACATTATTTATGCTTTTATTTGAAATAAAACTTCTGGCTTGTTTACCAGTTAATATTTAAAACTCAGTAACCTTGTAATATGCCAGAGGAAGACTGCAGACTCCATGGGCAGTTGTCAGTTAATGGCATAACAACTTCCTGTAATCCCAGGAAGAATTCTTGTGGCTCTTGTTCCCTGCCATGTCTAAACTAAGGGTTTTAAGGTGCATTTAAGGCACTAGAAGATGAGCTCTAGTTCCAGATATTATGAAAGATGGAAAATGACGCCAGTCTTCCTGGGTCATGCAACTTAGGGGGCAGGATGTTTTAGCAAGTTTTAGAAATAAAACTAAGATGTAGAAACTTACCAGGAAGTCTTTGCTTCGCAAGGCTGGAAGTGGGAGTTGGTGGCGGAGTACTGCCTGTTCCTTGGGCTTTTGATACATATGTAGATTCTGTGGATTCTAGAGAGCCTGGGGGGTTAAAAAAAAAAAAAAGTATTATGTTAAATATAGCACCAACTACACAAGTTTTCTGTTCATCTGTATTTATAAGGCATGTAATAATCTTATTTTTACTGCACATTTCTGAAACTGCCACTTGATGGTAGTTGGTTTCCGAGTACCTGCGGAGGAATGAAGTTTCCCCTCACACTCACTTCACAACACTGCCACACCCCGTAGTCCTTTTCCCCTTCTCCAGTGGGCACCTGACATATTCCCAGCTGCACACTATGGAGCAGGGCAGTGGAAGGGGAACCTAGCTATGAGGGGGAAGTGTTCCCAAGGAAACCTTCCTGTTCTCTGCCGTACAAGCCTTCCAGTCGGTGCATCAATAATCAGAGAGATCCCAAATACAGCAGGAAGTGTTCCTCGCCGTTTACAGACTCACAGACAGCTGGGCTGTTCTAGCTCTGACAGACACACTGCTGCGTTCAGGAGTTTTCTAAAAGTCCGCCACAATCTTTACAGTGAAAACTTAAATTTCAGAAAGTATTATGTTAGTACATCACTCTTAATGATGTAACAGCTATACACAGTTCTTTTCACATCACCAGACATGAATTACAAATATATGAGTAAAACAGGCTTTTGCACTGCAATACTCCATTAATGTCCCCCACAAAGCCACCTTCATGCTAGTCCTCAGCTACTTGCAGCCTGTCCTGGTCAGACATTGCTCTATTTAACAGGCAAACCAGTACTTCATCGGTCTGGCCATAGCCAGATGAGATCTCAAGCCAGGATTTCAGAGAGATCAAGTTCCAGTAGCACAGCGAACATCCCAGTGCCCCTTCGCAAGCGCACTCAAGGGGATACGTGTGCACATATGTGGGGAAACAGATGTTGTAAGACCTACACTACCCTGCTAGCTTACACATGTATAAACACCCAACTTTTGCAGAGTATGGAGCCAAAAGCCACAGAAATTATTCCTCTATTAATAAATACCAATGTCTAATAGAGCTTTTAAAATGTGACTCAACATGGAAGAACAAAATATAAACTATACAAGTGAGGTTAGAAAAGTGTCTTATTAAGGATTACAGAAATAGCAACGAGCATGTTCTTTTACATCCTGAGGGTAGATTGTCACTCACTGTCAAATCAGCACAAGAAAGGGCATTGCAATTTTAGTATTAAATTGGAACAGTTTGAACAACAGCGTAACGTGGCTGCAGATGGCACGGAGACCTACCTGCTGTTAAATTAAACGTTCTTCCCTTTGGTAAGGCTTGGAATGGAGAAAACCAGTTCAGCACAGAGCCTACTACAGGTATTTGTCGTAGCAGTCCCTGCAAAGTACACAAACACTGGCTGGTGAGCAAGCAAAGCATGTTGTAACAGGTTATTTCAAGTTACCTGGACAATGTTTATAGCCTTACCTCTTCTAGAAGCCGTTCTTCATTTGCTCTCTGAAGCTGAAGTTGTGCTTCCTGTATCCCTTTTCTAACAACTTCAGTCATATTTTCCAACAGCTAATAAAAACCAGAAATTTTATTATTATACATATTATTTGGACTTGAAATTGTCTTTTTAGTTCAGGTTTTGAGGATGTAAACACAGTAGTCCGCTATTTTTCTCATTTAAGACAGTATTTGACAATCACTGTTTCATTATGACTGCAAATTAAAGAACAAACAGGCTGACTGCAGGATTTTTAGAGGATCTACCCAGAGGACAGAATGTCATATAAAAAAAGGAATAGTACGTATTTTTCCTTACTTGGAGATGAGCCTATGACCCAAATTTTTCAAAGAACTGTTTACCACATAAGCATTTGTCAGATGCTGGTTATGACTGGGAAGAATTTTTAGGTTTATAGAGAAGATCTTGGTTTCTGTAAGTGCCCAGG